TACGTGAGAGTAAAAATAGTAAAAGTAAAAAATAAAATCTATTTAAAAATATATATATAATAGCAATAATAAATAAATATATAAATATCTTCACCCTAGCCTAGAAAAGCCTTAAATTATAGCTTTCGGGAAACACAGTTCTCGGCAATATTTCATTCTTTTGCCACATTAGAAAGGATCCAGCATAACGCTTCGTGCAAATGGGTGTTAAGTCAGTAATATAAGTATTTAGTATTCCGGACTTTCTAGTAGTCTGAAGGAGAAACGATATCTCTCCGAAATGTATCCGATAGAAAACCGACAAGCAGACAATTTTTCTCATTTATTCATCTAATTATCTTTGTGCTCCTTTTAAATTTTATTATGACACTAATTGATCCTTTCATTCCGTTGTTGAATCTTAATTCTGAGGTTTTTTTTAAATCTGTAGGCCCCAAATTGAAAATAGGTTGCGCTAGAATTTTTAAGAAAACTTTAATAACATAAAACTCATATCGCTGGTGAACCAAGACATTATCAAAATATTTATTTAATAAAAATTGTATTTACTGAATTGAGTTAAAGATACAATAATTATGGCTAAGTAACTTGAATAAGAGAATAGAACATTTTTATATGAGATCGTACAAGCTGTAGAGTACAATATAAAGATGCTTACAATAAGACCAGATAAAATTCACTTACCAAATTATTTCATAATATTTACGTACATCAATAGAAACCCAACGAGCCAAAACAGGAAGTTAATAACAAATATGTCAAAAATGACGTCCGTAACAAGAACAGTCAAATTTAGAATGTGTAATTAAACATAATATTATAATAATTTAAAAATGTAAAAATTCCCCGATACATTATATAGTTGAGGGAAGAAGAAGAAGGCTAAAGAAAAGACGGATGGATTGTGTGAAAGATGACATGGACAAGAAAGATGTGAATATGGAAATGACGGCTGATAGGGGAGAGTGAAAGAAAAATACATGTTGTGCCGACCCCACCTAGCGTAGGATAAGGACAGGAAGGAGAAGAAGACATTGTATGGTTCAGATCCCTACACTAACTAGGAGTTGAACTTGAAATAATTGAGCTGAAGTTCATGAAACGTAACTTCAGCCTTTAGATTAAAAAAACGAGGTTAACCTATCCTTTGGGATCTATGATGCCACAGACAGACATACAGAAGAAGGTTCTCAAACTTAACTCCCGTCTTTTTACACCGGAGGCAGCACCTCTGACTAATAAGCATACAAATAAATGTAAAAAGATTTCAAACGATCTACGATCCACTAGAGAAACAAATAAAAAAATGCATATAAGATTTATGAAAAGCTTTTAACTTCTGTCAATCGTTCTAAAGTCGTATAATATCGTTCATCAATTGCAAAAGAAAGGTATTTAACTAACGTCCAACAAAATTTGCATAAACTTACCAGAATCACTATCGTCCCTGTCGTAATGTGGCCTCCAATATTGTTCATTATATCTCAGCGGCACTTCAGATCTTCCCGTGAATTTATTAGGATCCAAAATATTCTCAACTGAAAAAGCTATAGCCTGTCTTTCCGGGGGCCTGGTTAGCCCTAGTCTTCTGGTTAAGTCTACTGGCGCAGCCTCTTCTACTCCTACTACGTCGACTTCCCCATTAGCTTCTCCTTCAGCTTCTGTCTCGGTCTCTTGGTCTTCTCTACGGTCTTCTGAGCCTCGCGCCATCGCAAGCATCGTCATAGCAACGTCTTTTTTTAGCTTAGATACATTTGATGTTCTTTCGTTTGTTGTTTGATATTTTTAAGTCATTTGGTCTTTTAGTTTAACTATACGCAGTTGCAGTCTTTTTGGATTACCCTATGGATCCCTTAGTGTATGCTTTATGTGTTATTTTATAGTTCTTAGATACGAATTGTTTATTTATGTACAATATCACTACACAGCACTAGTTTCTTGATTAACTAGAGGTAAAAGTTTACGACTGACCAAATAAAAATTAATGTTTTACCTAGATCTTGTACAGAGTCACAGAAATATAAAAAACAAAAACGTCATACACAACCACATTTAACAAGCGTGAATTTCAGAAGTCCGCACTGAAATCCGTTGTATCCCAACATTCGTTCATGACGCCTCGATAACGACTGAGAGGGTTCTGGCTCGTTCAGCGACAAAAAGGGAGGGGCAGTTCTATGGAGAGGGGGAACGGGATGGGGGATTCGAAAGACGAATCCCGTCTGCCGATTGGCGGGAGCAATCGAGGCGTGTCCGGGGTGGAGAAATGTAATCGAGCAATAAGGTTTAAACAATTTCGTTTAATACGTTGAATTATGTAAGAGGAGCGGCGAGCGAGTAATCGGGCACAAGCGATAAGGCCATTTGCGAGCCTTCGTTACGTATTAATGGCGTAGGAAATTGACTTATGAATATTAGAAGTGGAGTGGTAGATCGGCAAAGTGATCCCGGGTGGTCTACACGGGTTTGGACGTTAATAGAACAATGTTTTCAGTTTCGCTTTAATGGGTTTTGAAACGGACTGAGATAGCTCGTTAGATTTTGTAAAGGGTCGCCTCATTAATAAATAGATGGTCGGGTATAATTTTTAAGGATTTTTATTTTTCTGTGTACTTTATACTATAAAAGATGTGTAAGTGATCGTTTTAAATTTTAGGTTTCGACGGTGCTTTTCGTACCGTGGATAAAATAAAAAAGGTAATAAAGTAAATTATTTTGAGTATCTAATGACTGTTACTTTACAACCTTTGTAAATTCATGCACTATTTCATTATCCCATGCAAAAATTGGATCAGCTGTTTCATCGATTTTTGACCGTGAAGACTAAAGGTACATGTATTTTTAAAAACGGATCCCTTTCCCTTGCTAACCGTTTTAAAAATGCTTGGTTAATAGTTAATTCTCTGAAGATTGGTGCCCGCGTATTCCATTTAGACGATTAAAGTTTGGGCGTTCTCTAGGGCGCGCACCTGTGACCGGAATTGTATAATGTTTATAGAAATTTGAATTCCATTTGCTGTAGCAGACGTTTCGGTTGCTTAAATATTACAGGTGAAAGTTTCACTATGGGTTTAAAGTGGTAGTCGTACATTTTGTAAGCAGGTAGATAAAATTTATTTATATTTCGCAGTTGTTAGATTGTGTTTAGGTATAAGAATACCTACAAGAACTAGTTTAAAGTTCATCAAGAACTGATCCCTTTCTACTTACAGATATGTGTAAATTACATACCACTTCGGCAATATTTGAATCTTAATTATTTTTTATAATTGTATGTGAAAATTTTAAGTATTGGAATTAATATCGAATTATTTTCATTTTGCGATGAAGCAAACCCTTCAGCTTCCCGTGACTCTATCAACCGTGTAAAGCATCAAGCAATACAAACTTTCTTCTTTTTGACGTCGATTGTTTTGCAATGACGTCATACACATATAACTGTCAACAAGTATTTTTTACAGCACATCTCCGGCTTTGGCCCACCGTAAGGAGAAAGATACTTTTATAGATTTTTTGTCGGGCGTTCCCCAGGGCACGCACTTTTGATCCGGATTATTTCATGTTTTTGGTGAGAATACTACCACTTATTACCGCAGAATACGTAATAAAGTACCTATTACTGGAATTACAATAAGTGACGCTGCAAACAACGGCTTTACTAAAATCCATTTACGTAGCCAATATCATTTCCAATACAATTAAAATTACATTCAGAAACAAATTAAACACTCCTAAACTAATTCCTAAAGCTTGCTAGAGGGCTATTCACAACAGTACCATCTCGATTTACACTCTTGTCACCGACAAATCGATGGGCAAAGCGATAGCTGCCAGAGGTGATTGCCAAGTACCGTCATAGATTAGAAACATCCCGTTCTAAAAAAAAAGATATGCTGTTAAAATGTACAGTCTACAAAACAGCAGTTACTATACTTAATAGAAAATAAACCGTGCCTCAGTTTGATGATGTTTATTTCTTGGTAGAAACCGTAAACCACAAATAATCAATACCAGAGTGTCAGTTATTGTCATCGCAGTACGTGAACACTTGTGCAAATTTTTATTTACGTAATTAAGAATCATTCACCTCATCAAAATCATACAGTTCACCTAATCAAACTATTACGTTTGAATGTCCCACGGCTTTCTCATTATATTATCATTGTTCATAAGAAATTCTACATAATTACCATTTCTACATCGATCTCTACCTGTTCTTTAGAATATTTATAATTTTTTTTAAATCAGTTTTTGTCAAATGCATAACAATGACTCTACACAGTTTTTTTTTCAATTTTACTGAGTCAAGAAAGTGTAAATTATTCCTTAAATCTAAACAGAAACGTCAAAAATTTAATTCAAGTAAAAATATTTGATCATTCAAACATAAACTGTCACTGTGCAACATAAGACGATTATTGACCTTCAGTCTAAACATTTAGGTAAATTTCAATAACAATGGAGAACTGGCAAGCGAGAAAATTATAGTCATAAATACAGAACACTAAATATATTAGAAGTGGTTAGTTAGTGTCAGACACGTGACAACTATAGGTCTCGAAAAACCTATCTGAGCTCAGTGCGCCATTTTTCGCGTTGTATGGTATGGTTGCGTCATTCTTTCGTGCAAATTTTTGTTGTTAAATAGTTATGTGTTGTCGATAGTTTTATCGATAGATTGTGAAAAAAAAATTTTGAAAAAAATATAGTTTGAATTGTGAATGTTACGCCGTTGTAATGATTACTAATTGCGTTATTGCATTCTTTATTCTTATTTTGACAGTTGGCCTACTAGCATCGAAATCAATTTTCATTCATATACCTTTTAACAAGAATAGCCGGATTTGAATATCTATATTGAATTAAAATTAAAAACTTTAAAATATGTCTCCTCTTTGTTTTGTTCATAAACATATTTCTAAATAGGTACAGTGCATGTATGTGTGTATGAACCTACAAAATTGACAATTTAAATGAACTTATGCTTAATAATTGGATGAATAAGGAGGACCATTCAAATGAAACAATCACTAACTGCTTGCAAGCGGGCAACACTTTTATGCAATGAACTGTCATTTTACTCCGTCTTCGAAAAAGACAGACTCGAGAAAGAAAGACAGACAGGCAGAAATTCAATATTTTGATATGTTGTAGAGCAATGACGTCACCATTAAGATTTTGCACGGCCAAATAGCGTTCTGTTAGGTTATTCGATGAAATAACAGTAATTAAACGACCTAATAGTACATTGTCCTACATTACTTACAAATTTTTAGGGCGGCAGTAGCTCGCGCGAATATGTTAAATCTGGCAAGACGCAGAGCTGCTGACCGTACCGTTCCTAAAAAAAGGCGTTAAAAGATATTAAAAGGAATGAAGAGGCGTTAAAGAGCATCAAATGGCATCTATCAAGATCGACTGCGAGGCTAATCATGCGTTGAGAAACGGTAGTACGTTCAGGAATGTCACTCCTTTTTACTACTTTTTTAATATGACTTCTGGTGTTGTTGTAAGATGGAATTGGTTGGTCGTTAGGAAATTTAAAAAACTATTTTACAATTTCACTTTTGTAAACAAATCTATTATTCGCGCCATTTGTATTGTAAAGCACCGTCTGATCATACGTCAAAAGTGCTTTTATCTA